ATAGTCAGAGATCATGTGACAACTCTTCCCTGACAGGATGAAAACCGCTGCTTTTATTGTGATTGTAAACAGAACCTCTTTAGTCCAGTCTTCAGAAGAGGACACATCACAGCTCACAAGATTACTTTGACACTCAGAAAACCTTTTTTTTTAAAAATTTTTTTATCAGACAATAAATTCAACATGTTTGGTGAAAGGGTTATACTCTAAGTATAGCCTAACTCTGAATATATGCTACATTGTTTTTTGCAATGGACAGATGTGCAACTCTCTCATAAAGCATTTTGAAAAAGTAAAAGATGCTGGAGATTCTGAAGCGTGTGATTAAAGAACTCATGCATGAGAGGGTTAATATCAAACGATCACAGAGAGAGTCTTACCTGCAGAGCCGCTGATGCTGGATGCTGCTTCACTCTCCTCCTGCTGCTCCTCCACTGCTCTGAAAACTCCTGATTGACTGGGGAAGAAAGAGCGAGGGAGGAGAGCAGTAACATTTCCTCATACTTGAAGAATGTTTCCTCTCTCTCCTCACTTCCCCCTCAGCTTCTCTCTGATGTAAGTCTATGTGCTTTACAGGTCTCTGCTGGCCGGATCATTTCGAAAACATCTGATTTTTTTTAGATATTTTGAATGACCAGCTTGAATGTTTTATGACTTTAAACTCATCTCTGGATACTTCTCCATTGCTTGGCCTTTTTAAAACTGATTTACACATTTAATTTACCAGGCATCTTCATTGAGCACACGTTCTTGATTACATCTCAATTTGCTTTAGGATAGAAACATCTTTCAGTATTTAGATGTTCCTCTGAAATCGCAGCTGTGCGAACAAAATAACAAACGGCAAATAAATAAATAATGACCTGCCTCAAAAAATAAATATCATTTCACACCACGTCAGAACGGCAATGAGCAATTCATTTTAATGACTTCAGTGAATCATTACAAATAATTCACTGGAAAGCATAACACATGAGGAGTTTTCAATCACGTGTTATGCTGTGCTAATATCAAAAATTACATTTACACAGATGACATAAGAAAGTGACTGACAGCAAATTCCAACCACACTTTAGCAGTCCATGTATTCTCTGGGAAACACGTCTTGGTGTGACTATTGCTATGATGATACTATCAAAGCAGTATATGAATCTACAGTCACTGCTTCAGCAATGTCTGCTCTTTCTGTTTTATTCCTTTCTCATCAGCGTTTATACCTAATTATATCATTGGCATGTGTCACACAGTCACATCTTCATTGTCCTCTGTTTATCGGGCTTTCCATCAAGCCTCTTTCTATTCTTCACTCAGTTTCTTTCCTCCTGAGGCCCAGACGCAGTCCCACAGAAACTCCACACGTCAAACACACACTCGACAGCATAGCATTTTTATTTATGTGTGACGTCAGTCAGTGCGTTGAGACTCATTTCCACCTACAGACGGAGAGAAAAGGTCAGTTTTTCAATGGTGCCCTTGAGATGCTCAGCGTTCAGAGGTGCAGCTGAGGCCAGACACGAGTTCTTACAATGCTTTCCTGAAACTCTGTGTAATACAGCCATCGGTAGGTGACGTTCCTGATGAGTGGAAACACTGTGATGTCTTCAAAACACAGATCTCCCACTAAAGGAAATAACTCCCTGTTTATCTTTTGCACAGTACTTGTACACAGGCCAGAATTGTGAAGGGTCATACTTTTATGTTAAACGTGCTTCAGGACGTACTGTATTTTCCACGCAGGACAGAAATTACCACAAACAAACTTGACTTGACACTTTCATTTGTTGAAGACTGGAAGTAAATCTAATTCTGCATGTTGGATTTTATTTGTCCCAAATAGACACACTTTTTATGATTACAGTAAACTGCAGGCATGTGTGCTTAATATCCTTTTTTTTCTGTGGATTTGGAGCATTTTTTTGGAGTGTTAACCTCTCTGTAGACTTCGTGAAGCTTGAAATCCATCCTGGAATAGCTCATGAGGAAACAGAGCTGAGTGTTGCTGATGTTTTCCAGTTTCAGCTCTGCAAGGTCTCCAGACAAGACAAGCTTTTTTAATGAAAACATCATCATCATCATCATCACGCAGAAACATTTCGTCAACTTGCCTCATTAGCTCACCTTTAACTAGCAGTCAATGCCCTAGTTCTCATATTCATGCAGGTGTTGTTGAGAGCTACCAGCAATCCCTGTTTGGTCACAGAGCTGAAGAAAGTACAGGGCCCAGATGAGGAGGTGGGGATATTTCATAGAGAGAGCCAGTGCTCTGATGACTGTACCATATGTGTGGGTTTTCAGTGTTGAAGTAAATCCATCGTGAATGCACTGTAGCAAACCGCTTCACAGACACAGAGAGGATGCCACAAACTGATACTGAAGTAAAAGTGAAAAAAACAAAATGTGTGAAAGACACAAATGTTTAATGACAGCATTAGCAACTTATGCAATTTGATGTTTTTATGAGTGAAACTGGGTTTTCAGCTAGAATAAATGTTGGGTGGGTGCTGGCTTGAGTTTATCCGTCAGGACTGAGCTGAATGTGAGTTTGCAGTGGATTGTGGGGGACCTGCTGCAAGGAACTGAAGATCAGATTTATATTTGTTTTGCAGACTGTAAACTGCACATGTAGTGTAAATCCACCCTTACAGTATGACAGTAGACTCAAACAATGATTAAGTTGCTAAATAGTTTTGATATTAACCAATAGCTAAACACTGTCATCTTGTAAAATGAACAAAAATCCCTCATGGTCTTGGTGATGCCAACCAAACAAAATAATTTGAATGGTCTGAAGGTTTGCACAGGATGAGACTGCTTTAAACACATGTAATGAACGCCATTTGCTTTAGTCACACTGAATAGTCACTGAATGCTATGCCCTGCATTGGTTTCTATGAATATAAACAGTCAAGCCATCATAGTACAGTGTTGAGGCAATAATACCACTTTCACTGTGTGGCTCTTGGTTTAACCTGTAGATGTTCAGCTAATCACACCATCGAGGGCCATGCTAAACAGCCAAACCTGGATCCCTTGGTTTGACCTTTTTAAGTTGTTAAAAGTCCTTGAAACAGAAACTAGGTGAATATATTTGTTACAGATACATGTACTGATACAAGCGCACTTTGATTATGCAACCTGTTTTTGGTACAGTAGTTGAGTGTGAAAGTATGCACAGTATAAATTGCAGAAGGCTCAAAATAAATTAGATTATTGTTAAAAGTTCATCCTCACTTTCATTTAAATAGGGAATGTTTTAAAGGTTTAGGCCTATATTTAGGCACAGTTAGGCTTGCTTAGTTGGGGACACTTAATTTCTGACCCTGGAGCACAAAAGCAGTCTTAAGTCGCTGGGGTATATTTGTAGCAATAGCCAAAAATACATTGTATGGGTCAAAATTATAGATTTTTATTTTATGCCAAAAATCATTAGGATATTAAGTAAAAATCATGTTCCATGAAGATATTTTGTACATTTCCTACTGTAAATATATCAAAACTTAATTTTTGATTAGTAATATGCATTGCTAAGAACTTAATTTGAACAACTTTAAATATGATTTTCTCAATATTTAGATTTTTTTGCACCCTCAGATTCCAGATTTTCAAATATTGTCCTATCCTAACAAACCATACATCAATGGAAAGATTATTTATTCAGATGATGTATAAATCTAAATTTCGAAAAATTGACCCTTATGACTGGTATTGTGCTCCAGGGTCACATTTCTGGCAATATTTTTGGCTTGATTTTACAGACACTATTGGAAGAGAACTGAGGTGGATGATGACATCACTGAATCATCAATGAACTGACTTTATCTGAAAAATGGACTGTTTGTTATTGTCCTCTTGCATTATTGACCAACTATTTTCCTGTTTAACACTGTAAACCAAAATTACAATCTGTTATGTCTTTAGTAAGCATTGAGCTAAACTTAACCTGCCACCCTTTACACAAACCTTCATAAAGCAGCTAAAAGTGCAATCCCCGTAAAGATACTAAATGATTAGTAATCGTTTATAAACATTTACAAATGATGAAGAATTTCCACTTTAGATTGGCTGCTGCAAAAACATGAACAAATGATTAGTAAAGATGTGTGAATAAGGTAAATTCAGGTCTTTCGGGACACTTTTGCCATTGAGATGACTTCTCACAAAGGTATTAATGATTAGTAAACATTTATAAACATTTGCAAATGATGTGTGACCTAGTTTTCTGTCCTTGTCTAATTGTGTCATTATGTTCAGGTGTGTCTTATCAATTATCCTCATTTACTCTATCTTATAAGTTGTATTCTGTTCAGTGTTTCTTTGTCTGGTCTCATCAACGTGTACGTGTGTTTATGCCGTCCTATTGTGGATTACCTTATGTGGATTATTTAAGACGATTTACCTTCATCTTCGTGCGTTTCTCCCACACCATACCGTGACAAAAGGTAACTTGATTATTTCTCATTTTCCTTTCCGTTGGTATTTCTTCAGTACTCGCCTGCATTGCCATCTTTCACATCCTGTCAGTAAATACCTGTTTGGGTTCAAACATTGCTCCAAGTCTGTTTTTTCCTGACACTTTTACTGGTTTTAATTTGCTGCATATTGGGAGCAAAATTAAATGAAATATATCCAATGAAACATGGCAAATATCAGCAATATCCAGTGAAACATCCGGTAATACTTTATAATAACTATCATTAACGAACGTTATATAATGCTTAATGGATCATTAGTTAATATATATTCAAAGAGTTAGAAATGTGAGATAATGTGCTTGTTAATGTTTGCTAATAAACGTATTAAACATTAGATAATGTTCAAACAAATCATTATTTCATGAAAGTTAAAATGCTTACAAATGTGATTAAACTTCTAATTCATATGATCAAGCAGTCATTGAAAATCTACAAGTGATTTTAACAGATGTTATGCAATGATTAAAAACTTGTGTTAATGCACAACACTTTAGCTGCTGTTGAGGTGTGACACGGGTAAGTTAGGGACAGGTTTGGTGGGATGGGTTGGTTTAAGGGTTGGTTAAGGAGTCAGAAGTGTACAGGGGTCAATGTGGTTATTATAAGGGAACACGGTTCAATCTGTTTACATTATATTGTTTTGACAAAGTATTTTCTTTTTAAAAAATGAGTTTTCCCCTGTTTATTTATGATTCAAGGAATGTCCTGTTTAATGATATATTGAAGAGTAGCATACTAATGTGAGTGTTGAGGTGATCCAAACATTTTTGCACCAAAATTACAATCTGTTATGTCTTTAGTAAGCATTGAGCTAAACTTAACCTGCCACCCTTTACACAAACCTTCATAAAGCAGCTAAAAGTGCAATCCCCGTAAAGATACTAAATGATTAGTAATCGTTTATAAACATTTACAAATGATGAAGAATTTCCACTTTAGATTGGCTGCTGCAAAAACATGAACAAATGA